ATTGTTCTTTCATGAAAAATAGTCGACAATGCAAATCAACCAAATCTACAGTGATAAATAGCGTAAGAACTGATTAGCAGTGATGAAATGTTTGAAGATATCAAATATTTCGATCGATCTTTTAAAAATATTAAATGATTCACACGACTTTAATTTAACGCTATAACATTTATCTTAGTGGTCCATGATTACATATGAACAATCATTTTCCACTACGTTATTCTAATAAATTTGTCGGCTAAAAGTTTTGTGACATTAATGTCAGAATTTAGTGAGGTTTGTTAATAATGGTCATTTCCGTTGGCAGAGTAGAAAATTTAACAGCATGAAGATTTCGAACGGTTACATATTGGACTACAAGACAATAACATAGCTCCGAAATCCCTTCGATGCTACATATCGTAACTGATATTATTGCTAAACCACCATTCAAAATTTTAACGTACCTAAAGTGTACTCCACAACTAAAGGTCACACAAGAACTATGAAAACAAAAGTTCATTGTCAAAGTGTATTTTCTACTTATTAATGGGTTCTTCCTGTAAAACCCATTACTTCCGCTATTACACTTTTTTTCAGAAATTGCATAGAAACCTTTGTTTTGTTTTCTGGCAAATTCTATATATTTTTCTATTTACTGATGCTCATATACTTCCGATTGTTACCTTTATCTTCTCATCTATTTCTAGAAAGAAGTATGATGTTTTCTTGAGTTTTAGATGTAATGATACTCGCAATAACTTTACATATCAACTATTAAGTCAAATAAAACAGAGAAAGAGATGAAAACAAACCTGTAAAACTTCAGATTGCATTATAATATAAATTGTTTTGAAGCTTTCAGCGATCGTTTCCAAATAAATTGGGTTAATTATAGAGTTGGTCATCAGAATATCAGATTAATTAATATTTTTAAGATACTTACAAATTGGTCACCAAAATTGATTTAAGAAGATTGGGTTAAACATAAATGAAAGAACATAAACGAACATAATTGAACATAACCGAACGAACATAACCAAACGTTCATGAACGTAAATGAACGAACGAGACCTATGTTCATGTTCGTTCATTTAATTAAACGAACACAAAATCTTGTTCATGTTCGTTCACATAAACGAACTTCCCGCCGCACGGTTCATGAACAACGTTCATTTACAGGCCTAGATGTGCATTGTCCTATTGTCGAAATGTCCACAAGATCTAAGCTTAGTTGCTTGAGTTGGAATAAGTACACAAAAAAACAAATTGCTAGCTGTGATTATGATGGGATAATAACTGTATGGGACATCACCACTCGGCAGGTAGGAAATAATAACTTTTTCACTTTCCTAACCTCAATATTTAATTTTCATGTAGGTTCTTCAGCCTAAGCATTTTTATTATAGAGTTTTCTTACATCATCTGCAGTTGCTTGATCTTCAATATAATGATTCTTAATTGTACAGAGCTTGATGGAATACGAGGAACATGAAAAACGAGCTTGGTGTATTGATTTTTGTCGTGCTGAACCTTCAATGCTTGTCTCTGGCAGTGATGACTGCAAGGTAAAAGTAACTTAGCATCTTGCAGTGTAACCGAAATAGATGAGTTTGTCCACCTACTGTCGGTTCACTAGACCAAGCTTGTACCTGATTTTGCAGTTCATTCTGTCTTACCGCATTTGTATTTGATAGGTAAAAGTTTGGTGCATGAAACAAGAAGCTAGCGTTCTCGACATCAACTTGAATGCAAACGTTTGTTCTGTCAAGTACAATCCTGGATCCAGTGTTAATGTTGCAGCATGTCTTTGTTAATCAATATGTAATTATGACATTTTAAAGAATCCAAATTAGTGAAAAGGAATTATTTCTGCCTGGATTCTTTCCCTTCTTTCTGGAGGAGAGGCGGGCATGAATGTTTCATCACTCGATTGTGAATCATCTTTTAACAGAAATCCTCACATCATTTTCAGACAAAATCATGAATAAAGAAGGGTTTAGTGAAGTATATGGTTTTTGAATTCTCGCAGGTCGGTACTGCTGATCATCAAATTCACTATTATGACTTGAGAAACATCAGCAAACCGCTGTATGTGTTTGGTGGGCATAAGAAAGCTGTTTCATATGTGAATTTTTTGTCTAACCATGAATTGGCTTCCGCATCTACTGACAGCACACTGCGCTTATGGGATGTAAAAGAAAATTCATTAGTAAGTACCCTATCTCATATCATGCAGTTTTTAAGGTTTATTAACTGCGAACAAGGCTATCTTATACTACCGGCTATCTGTTTTTGACTTCTGTCGGGACATCTTTCATTTTTTTAACCAGTAGCAGCCTTTTATATTTATCAAACATGAATGTCGTAGTGGTTACTATCTGCCTAACATCCCATATTGTCCAGACTAAATCACCTTCGTTGTTTATTATTCTGTCAGCTGCGCACGTTTAGGGGTCACAAAAATGAGAGGAACTTCGTGGGCCTCACAACGAACAGCGATTACATTGCTTGTGGCAGCGAAACAATGAAGTGTTTGCATATCACAAAGTTAGTTAATACTTAATGCACTGGAATATGGTATTATTATTGAATCCGTTTCTAATTTAGTTACATCGACCTTGCAGGCTATATCTAAACCTGCAGCTCAGTATAGTTTTGGTTCCGACATGGCTGATGCCGATGAAGAAGTCGGATCTTACTTCATCAGTGCTGTATGTTGGAAGAGTGATAGCCAGACAATGCTTTCGGCAAACAGTCAGGGAACGATTAAAGTGCTTGTGCTTGCAGCCTGAATGGTAATCAATCCTAAAAGCAACATTGATTTTTTTCCGTCTAATTTATCCTATAATCAATGTTTCCTAATGTTTGTCAATATTTTCGCATTTGAAGTTTATTTATTTTAGTAAATTTTCTTACAAGTTTCTTTGTATTTCAGGTGGCAAAAGAAATGACTTTCTCACGAAGCAATGCTTTTTAATAATATGGCGATATTAGAGGTGGCAAATAGGTGGGCTCGGATCAGGCTGTTTTCAGATTCGGATTATTCCGTGTTTGAATTTTCTCAAATTTGAATAAGTTTAGACTCGGATTTTATCGTTTTCGAACTCGGATTAGTATAATATAAACTATCAATACTCCAATTTTATTATAATTACATGTAGGTTGATATGATTGACAATGTAATTATTACTCTCATTAATATAAGTATTAATATTTTGATTTTATAAATATTATAAACTAGTTTTCTTTTACATTAATCAAATATGAACTACTATTAAATAATTTTAATTCTATGACCAACTCTTTAAGAATATATTTTACTTGGATATTGTATTTTACTTTTTACTTTTATAAATTGTCCTAAATAATGCTTTAAAATTATCATAAATAATTTTTCTTTAAAAGTAAATAAGAAAAATTGATAGATTTGATTTAACTCAATTTTATAAAAGTATGTTGAGTCGAGTTTTTTTTTTTTTTTTTGGACAGAAAAACTCGAAATCAGAATGAAACTAAATTTAGGATGCACCTGTAAAAATCTTGAGTTATTAAGAGAAAGTGAAAAGATTTTCATTCGCGGAGTTGGAACTCGAGACACTCTCAGTCACAGCTGATGATGTTGATTCAGCGACCATTGTGGTCATCTCCACCTAAAACATGGGTCAAAATGGAGATATTGGGCCGACACTAATCTTCCACCACAAAGGCAGAAACAAGTGTGTCAACGCAGCGTGATTGAATCCCCTGCTTCTTGCCTCCTAAGGAAACCCGAACCAATCCCCAGTCCCCGGCCCCACTCTTCTATTTCTCCAAATTATTACATAAAGGTCGGTCCAGTAATCTTCTGCTACCCATTAGTTACTGTTACACCCTCTCTTTCTTCGTCTCTATTTTTGTTTTATTATTAAAAACGTAAAGCGTAAAAAATTAAAAACTTTGACCCAATAAAGATATTTAAAAGAATTTGATTCATATACCTTTATAATGTTATTGAGCAAATTAAATAATTAATAATATGTTTTTGAATAATTTCTATTTAAGTGACAGAGGAAGAAAGAGAACTCTGCTTTTAATGGGTATTGAATTCACAAATTAGATGATAGAAGAGGTATCAAGTGAAAGCTTTTAACAACTTACTGTAGAGATTGTTGACAAATGATGAACATTATTAAATACTCAACGAACATAAGAAATTTTGTAAACATAGTAAATTGGAATGAATGTTGTAAATGGAATAGATTTATGGAGAGCTAAAATTTATTCGGACTGTTTTATACGGTAAGTTAGTCCTTTGGGTTTTTTGAGTGCTATGTTTTGGTATTATATGAATTAGAAGCTTTTAACATTTTGGTTTTCTGGAGCCCGATGAGTATGCTATTTCTAGAGTTTTGGCCGCTCTTTGTTTATAAGTTTCTCTGGGAGGACTGTTGATACATTAGTTATGGCCTTCAAGATCTGTTGGTGTTGGTTTGGTGTGTGAGATGGTTGGTAAAATTTGTGCTGTGCACTCTGGATTTTTGTGTGTATTGGGGTCCAAGAGGCTTGAGCTTTTGTGTATCCCCAAGATTTGTACAGAGTTACATTAGAAAATTAACCGTCTAAATATAAAAAATAAAATTGATATAATTATTTTTAAGATGAATCTCTGCAATACAAAATACAAATTAATTAATTATCAATTATATATTATTAATCATACCAAAATTAATTGATTGATTTAGAGATTATTCTCTAAAATCCTCATGCCAGTTCGAAGGTTAGACAATCCCCTTTCTCTCTTATGTAATATAAAAAAGAACGCTACAAAAATAAAAGGACTGAAATATATCGAATTAAAGAATAGAGATTAAAATCCAAATCTAAGTATTATAGGCGGACCGAAACCAAAATATTCTCTTATAATTCTTTAAGCATACATTTTTTTAATTAAAACTTGAAAAGAAAAGAAGAAGGGCGATCAAGTTGTGCGACTAATCGTCCCATCCGCTTCGATCCCTCTCTTTTTCTTTATATTATCTTTATAATTAAAGCGAAAGAGAACCCCAAAGATTCATGAATCAAAGATCCTCCTTTAGATTCAATTCACTCTTTGAAAATTCTTCCATCTTCTCCCCCCCAAAGATCCATCTAGATTTCATTTTCAACCTTTCCCCCCTGTTTTTCAAAATTTTGGCGCGAAAAATTGGACATGAGAGTCGAAGTAATCGAGGGAAAGGATTACGAGGCGTCCGATGACCTCTCCCCGCCGCCTGATTATCCGATAATCGGAGACGATAGCGAGATCAACGGCGAGCAGCTGTTCGTGCCTCCCTTGAATTTCGCCATGGTCGATAATGGAATTTTCAGGTCTGGCTTCCCTGATTCCGCCAATTTTAGCTTCTTGAAATCGGTAGGGCTCCGTTCCGTCATGTGAGTTACTTATCCTTAATTTTTTCTGCTGGTTATCGAGAACGTAAATTTCCTTTATTTTGAATTTTTTAATTGCTTTTTATGTTCCTTTTTTTTTTTGTAGAAATCTTTGCCCTGAGACCTATCCGGAAGCAAACAATGAGTTCTTAAAGGCTAACGGAATCAGGCTTTTCCAATTCGGTATCGATGGATGCAAGGTATACAATTAAATTTTTATCAGTTTTTTTTTTTTGGCTTAATTCCCTCATTTAATTATTTATCACCATGATTATATCTTAAGGTTCAAGTCCCCCCCAATTCTGGGTTGTTACCAATTCCATTTACTGAAATTGACATATAAAATAGTTTTCATAAGCTCGAAATCAAAATGTTAATTTTAGCAGTCAGTCCTGTTTTCTCTCTATCCATGGATTTTTTGATCCCTGAACTGTGTTCTTTACCGTAAATATAAGGTGCTAGAATCCTCTTGAAAGTTGAAATCTATAGCAAATTAGCGTCCTTCCTTGTATAATCATCAAAACACCAGTTTTTGCTTAAGTTTCCCCCTTCCTAGTGGTGGTAACGAGAACCAGTTCTTGCTGATATTCAAGGTTTGACTTATATGATCCGTACTTTTATGTTACTGTTGATTTATTGAACTATGAAATAGAATACGTTATGCTGTTATCGAGGCTGTAGTTTTCTTACATTTTCTCGTGGCGGTTTATGGTGAAGAAGGAAGGGTAATGCGATTTGCACTGTGATTTTTAAACCAATTAGGTTCTATTTGTTTTGATATGGCTGTCTGCTATATGAAATGATATCCTACATTCATAGATGTGTTCGGAAGAAAAAGAAAATTGGGAGTGTCGTTCTCATAATGGGCCTTTGTAGACCTAATCTAGATTAGTTGGCCAATAAGTCAGATACAAGTGGTGTTAAACATAAACAAAATCTTGCATCATAAGGGACAATACATTCTTGAAATTGATATTCGAAACTTTGGACAGGAACCTTTTGTAAACATTCCAGAGGAAACAATCCGAGAAGCGTTGAATGTGGTCCTCGGTATATGCTATATAATACTTTTTGCTTGTAGCCTATAGTTTTCTTCTTTTTCATCTGCTTACATTCGGCATTGTATGTTTCCATACCAGATGTAAAGAACCATCCAGTGCTAATCCATTGTAAACGGGGAAAGGTAATAATTTCATCCTATGCTTTTCCACCTTTGTAAATTTCTGCCAACGTTTTTCGACCCTACTTATCAGTTGACCAACTGATCACTCGATACATCGTGCAGCACCGTACCGGTTGTGTTGTGGGATGCTTAAGAAAATTGCAGAGATGGTGCCTGTCTTCGATTTTTGACGAGTATCAGCGTTTTGCCGCTGCAAAAGCAAGGGTGTCTGACCAGAGGTTCATCGAGAGGTTCGACATTTCCAGCATGAAGAATATACCGATAACGTTTTCATTTTCAAAGAGAGAGAAAGTTGAGCATTGAATTTAGCTTCAAGTTTCAATGTCATAATCCAAAACAAAACCACCCTTCATCACATACTAGGGATGTAAAATTATTACATATTTTTACTTTATATTAATTAAATATTATGCTTATTAATATGGTGTTTTAATGTTTTAACTTTCGATCTTAAGAAATATCAATAATTCTTTTATTATTGATGTCTTTTAATTCATGCTTAAAATATTCAACTTATTATGTATAATTGATTGAAACAACATAAATTTGATTTGAGATTGAATATTATTTTTTATACAAGATTTTGATTTTCAAGTTTTATGATAATGAACTTATATATAAAATATATAAATTGAGTTATATAAATTGAAATTTGGAGATTAATTTCTGAAATTTTGTTTGTTACTGACATTTGATATAAAGTTTGTTAACTCTAAAATATAATATGTTATTCTGCAATCAAACGAGAGTTCAGGTTGTCAGCTATTGGGACTTATTTCAACTTCTGATATGAAAAATTTTCAAGATATAATTTTGGACTTGAACCTTATTGACCATCCTTTCTTTGGACTTTCTTTTCTGACCATTGTTTGGCATTGGCCTGGCTATCTAAAGAGGTTCAAGCCTATCGTCCAAAGCCATTCAAATTCTTCAACTTTTGGACTCATCATCCAAATTTCTTGAGCGTGGTTAGACAGTCTTGGCAAAGTACTGTCCAAGGTAACCCAATGCAGAGCCTTTTTATTAAGCTAAAGCACCTGAAAATCCGTTTAAAGAGTTTAAATAAAACTTTTTATAGTGATCTCTCAACCCGGGTAAAGCATAAGAAGACAGGGTTGGAGCAACATCAAATATTAACTTTAAGAGGAAAGTATGTCATTGAAAATGAGCTTCAAATGCAAAATGAGTTAAAAATCATTGAAGAATATGAAACTATGTTCTTAAAGCAAGAGGCAAAGGTGCAATGGTTAAAGGAGGGAGACAAATGCTCTAAATTCTTCCATTTTGCAATTGATGTTAAAAACAAAGGGACACAATCAAGGTCCGGTCCTGCTTGATGAACAAGGAAAGTGGTTAAAATCTTTTGATGCTATGACTTTTGAGGTGATTGAATTCTTCACAAGACTGATTGGTACTGCTGATCCTAGGGTTAAAGATAGTGATCCCAATCATTTGAAAGATTTACTTCAATTTTCCTTGTATGTTGAAGATTCTATTGGACTTGTTAAGGATATTTCGATGGATGAGATCCAGGAAGCCTTTTTCTGTCAAGGTAATGAAAAAGCTCCAGGTCTTGATGGTTTCACACCTTATTTCTTCAAAAAATCATGGTCTATAATTAGTGATGATGTTGTAGCTACTATAAAACAATTATTTCATGAGTAATTTCTGTTACCTGCTTTTAATGCAACATTTATTGCTTTGGTGCCTAAGGTATCAAATCTAAGCAAGGTCAAATATTTCCGGCCTATTTCATGATGTTCTATGGTGTACAAAGCTATATCAAAGATTTTGGTTAAAAGATTGACAAGTCTCGTCCCATAAATGATCACTTTAAATCAAACAACCTTTGTTAAATGAAGGAGTGACAATACTTTTCTTGCTCAGGAACTGATTAAAGGCTATAGTAGAAAGACTATTTCCCCAAGATGCTCATTGAAAATTGACCTCCATAAGGCTTTCGACTCTTTTCACTGGGGATTCATTTTTACTATTCTGGAGGCTATAAGGCTTCCAAGCACTTTTATATGATGGATTGAAGTTTGTTTTTCAACAGCTAGATACTCCATTTCTTTTAATGGGAGTTTGATTGGTTACTTCAAGGGTGCAAGAGGTGTAAGACAAGGAGACCCCCTCTCTCTTTTCTTATTTGTTATTTCTATGAATGTTATCTAAAGAATCCTAAACATGGTAGTTGTTAGAGGTATGTTTGGTTACCATTAAAAATGCAAAAAAATAGGCCTTACTCATCTATCTTTTGTTAATGGTCTGTTTATTTTTTGTAAATGATATGTTGAATTTGTAGTTGAAGTTACTAGTGTTTTAGATTACTTTTATGAAATGCATGGTCTACGCTTAATGATGCTAAATGTGAATTCTTTGTTGTTGGTATCTAATAGTAAGCTTGAGGAAATTAAATTGATTATTGGTTTCAAACATGGTTGCCTACCAGTGAGATACTTAGGTATTCCTTTAGTTACTAGAAAACTTTTGACAAAGACTGTGTGGTTGTTATTTATAACATCAAGTCAAGGTTGCACCAATGGTTAGGAAGGCAATTGAGTTATGCTGGCAGATTAGAATTAATCAGAGCAATAATGTTTGCTAATTACTGGTGCAGGTAGTTAATTTTACCACAATAAATTATTAAGAAGATTGAACAATTATGCTCACGTTTTTTCTAGAAAGGGACTGATAAGGCAACAACTGGAGTAGAGTTAGTTGGGAGAAGATATGCCTTTTGAAATCTGAATGATGGCTTGGACTCAAAGACATTAAGACTTGGAACAGAGCATGTATGATGTTACTAATCAGGAATATACTTGTGGGTGTGTGATCATTGTGGGTAGCTTGGCTCAAAAGCTATGTGTTAAAGGAAAATGATTTTTGGAATTTGGAAGTTGGAATTAATACTAGCTGGAGCTTAAGGCGTATTCTTAAAATGAGGACCGAAGCTTTTCTTATTCTGTCTTCTGGAGCTAATAAGGTTGGTGATATTTGGGAAGTGATTAGGGTGATGGGTACTAAAGTACCTTGGCATAAGCTTATATGGTTCCCACTCCAGATCCCAAAGCATAATATGATTGTGTGGATGACTTTACTTGACAGACTTGCAACATATGATAGGCTGCAACGCATGGGGCTTGTTGTCGAAAGTCAATGTGTTTTTTGTAATGCTACTTTGGAAACAAGGGACCAATTGTTCCTTGAGTGTCATTTGACTGCTTTTTTATGGAAGACAGTCTTCAATCTGAATGGCTTGCGGAGAAGATCCTTGTCATGGGAGACTCGCTTAGCTTAGGCTTGCGGTGCTTGGAAAGGTAAGCCCTTACTCACAATAATCATGAAGCTAGCTTCGAACGCTCTAATCTACACTCTATGGGAGGAGAGAAACAAAGGATTGTTCCAAGGTTGTTCAAGAAATGTTGATGAAATGCTTCATACTATTAAGGAAATAGTAGATATATAATTAAGGGGTAGAAATATAAATAGATTAGATAATGTTAATATCACTCTTTGTAATCATTGGGGTATAGTTTGATCGTGTTTGTTTTTGTAAGTAGGGTATTATAATGTAATTAGAACGCTGATTGTTTTTATAGCATATATCTGTTTCTTTAGGTAATAAAATCGAATTAAAAAAAAAGAGTATATAATATGTTTTGAGATGAGCTTTCGCAAGCCCCTCTTGAGCTGATTCCGACAGCGATTCCAATAATTGGGTGGCGAGAAAAGGTCCCCTCTGTCTCTGTGGTTATAAAGCAATGTTTTTCTTGGTAATTTGATTGATGCCTATATTTCGGTGAATTATTATTCATATGATCTTTGAGTTGCGTTATTGATTGTCGGGTAAATTTCAAGGATTAAGAAGAATTTGCTGAGTTTGCAAAGTATGCAGTTTAGGGATGAATTTTGAAGATTACAGGGAAAAGAGCGAAGTTCTGAAATTATGCAGCCAGTAAATGGCAAAAACAGCTTCATTTCTGCAGCAAAATTTGAGCCACAACTTACTGGGGACTTTGCTGGAGTATCAATATATCTTCCAAACTTTATTTAACGAATAATTAAATATAATAAATTCTTATATTAATATGTCTTTTCAAACTTTATTTAATAAATAAATAAATATAAATCCTTTATAATTCGCCTATCTGTTGTATCAGTCCAACTTTATTTATTGAAACCCCTCCGTTGGCAGCAGCTGTGTGTTTTAAACATCAAATTCTTATCATGCAACTGTTGATGGAAATGACGTAAAGTGAAGAAGAAAAGCTTAAATCACCACCATACATACATAGCTTCTCACTACATCAAATAACCAGTGACGTTTCTCTTTATCCTTTTCTCTTTGCTTTTATTTATTCTTACGCTCTTCTTTACGGATTCGCCCTACTACACTTTCTTCTCTACCCGCCACTTCCAGTTTTAACCCTAAAATCTTTGCTTAGACGTCGCGATGAAAATGGGAAAATGGCCGTCTACTCTAATGATTCATATTACGTGATTACATCACAAAATAATAATAATAACACTCACTTAAAGAAAAATAATTTAATTTAAACTCATATGCACATATTTTTTTTTTGAAAAGATCATATGCATATATTTACAATATACAATATAATATATTCAAAATACATATTTGATAAGATATGTAATATTAACATTTTTAAACTTTAACACATCACCTCTTCTTTTATAATGTGGGACTAATATCTCGCACATTTTTTAAGACGTAATATACTTATTCACTCAATCTCGTAACATCTTCATTATATGTCATCTCCTAATTGCCCATCCTATTAAGTCTATCCGCTAGTCGCACGACATGAAATTAAGTTAGTTAAAAGATCATTTTAATATCATTTGTCACACAATTATTATATTTTTAATAAAGTACTAATCATTAAATTTTTAATAATAATTTATTAATAATTTTTAATATTAAATTTATTGTTATATTATGTCATATCATTATTTTTGTTAAACCAATGGTTAAAATTAACAGTAGAATTTTAAAATAAAAATTAAATGTAACATTTAATATAGTTTAAAAAAGAATACAAGAATATGTAAGATGTGAAATAACTACTTCACTCAAAATTTTAACTAGAATTCTAAGAAATTTTAATTTTAATTATTACTCTGAAACTATCATGTGAATATGTGGACATGTAAGTATTAAAATGTGAGAGGAAGTAGGTTAGATGGAGATAGGGAGACAAATGGTTTAAACTTTATTGAATATGAAGCAGTAACCCATCCTATAGCCCTAACACCACACTCTTGCCTGACAGGATGAAGGTGGAAGAAGGTATAGCCAGAAACCCTCAGACCCTTCTCTGTGTTGTAGTGCGAGAACGAGAAGAGACATTCGGACTGTCTCACTTATTGAAACCCCAACTCTTTGTTAAATAAATGCAGAAGATTAGCTGCCATGACCCAGACTAACAATGAGTGTTAACATATCTTTTAAATCTCAATGAAAAATGTAAGGTCTACGGTTTGGATTAAGTGTTGAATGAAACTGAAGTTCACCACAGTATACGTACAGAATCTAGATTTGTTTCCCCCTCTCTTCCCCTGATTTGATCGTTCCTTCTCATATATATTCCCATTTCTTTTTCTTTCTTTATTTTGTTGCCAGTAATGGCAGCCATCATCAGTGGCAGTAGCTGCAGCAAAAGTGAGGGAAAGAGTTATTCATCGGGAAGGTAAAAGCCTATAGCATCCGGCCACTGCCTTCTTCTCTCCGTGCTATCTTCGTTTTTCCCATCTGCAAACTCTTTGTGTTCCTTTCTTTACAAGGAACATCCAAACATAGTTCGACTCACTGAGTGTGTGTGTGAAGATCCACGCATGCTGCTAATGAACAAGAAACACAGTTAACAGGGTTAGAAAACTCAGGTTTATAAGTGGCTGCTGCTTTAGGATTTGCACTAAAAAGCCTGTTTTTTATAGCATAAATATCGGGAGAGATCTTTAGGGCAAAAATAGATTGTGTTGGGGTGGAGAACAACTAGGAAAAAAGAGAGAGAAACGAAAAGACAGAGAGAGATAATTAATGGAAGGTGGTTCCAATAGCACTTCTTGCATGATGGATTTTGGACACAACGATACTAGTAGTAATATTGGGTTATCTCCAATGTCTATGATGCCTCCCATGGCTTCCCATCATCATCATCATTCCAATTTGGACTCGAACCCCTTATTTCTTAGTAGCGACAGCTCCTCTTTCATTCTACACGATCAAAACAACAACACGGGGTGTTATTTCATGGAGACTAGCAACGATGGCAGCTCTTTCAAGACTAAGATCATGGCTCATCCTCACTATAACCGTCTCCTGGCCGCCTATGCCAATTGTCAAAAGGTAACCAAAAAAACAAAACCATGGTGGTTTGATCAGTTTTATTTATAAAAGCCTAGTTTCTCATGTGGTGGTGGTGGTGTTTAAACTTGAGCAGGTAGGAGCACCGCCGGAAGTGGCGGCGAGAGTAGAAGATGCATGCGCATCGGCGGCGGCTACCGTTGGTGCTACCAGCAGTGCAAGAATAGGTGATGATCCAGCACTGGACCAGTTCATGGAGGCTTATTGTGAGATGTTGACTAAGTACGAGCAAGAGCTCTCCAAACCTTTTAAGGAAACCATGCTTTTTCTTCAAAGGGTCGAGTCTCAATTCAAAGCCCTCACCGTTTCCTCTTCGAATTCTGGTGATAATATTCTCTCTCGAACCTGCTTTTTGTTTAATATATTAGATTAAGGCTATATCCGCCATGGAAGCCTGCAATTTGTTTTACAAAACAAATTATACGAATTCGTTAGCATTTAGGGTTTGATCAAACTAGGTTTTATAGTGAAAAGTTAGCATTCACGGGGGAAATTCATGTAACTTGTTTCTTACAGCAGTGCTCCAGATTTTTTCCAAAGTTGAATTGTTATAGATTAAGTTAGTCGCATTTGAGTGAGTTTTGGATACGTGTATGTATCCTACATAAGTGTTCGAAGATCATATCTCCATGTTCATGTGTCAAACTTAAGTGTCAAACACGAATACTTTTAAGAAAAATTAGGTTATAGTTGCTTGTCTTGATCTGATTCGAGTTGATTCGGAGACATAATTTGAAGTGCTTACAAATTTGTTATGTATTCAGCTTGTGGTGAAGTTTTTGACAGGAATGGATCATCGGAGGAAGAGGCCGATACAAACGACTTAATTGATCCCCTCGCGGAAGATCAAGAACTTAAAGGCCAGCTTTTGCGGAAGTACAGCGGATATTTAGGCAGCCTGAAGCAGGAATTTACGAAGCGGAGGAAGAAAGGAAAGCTGCCTAAGGAAGCCACCCAACAGTTGCTGGATTGGTGGAGTATACATTACAAATGGCCTTACCCTTCGGTATGTACACATTGCACAACTATATAATGTCCATATCTTAAATCTTTAATGCATCTGTTAATCATTATCCATGTGTTGCAAAACAACTCGCTGGCGGAAACAGGAGTCGCAGAAGCTTGCCCTTGTGGAATCGACCGGTCTGGATCAGAAGCAAATAAACAACTGGTTCATTAACCAGAGGAAAAGGCACTGGAAGCCATCTGAAGATATGCAGTGTGTGGTGATGGATGGTACCCATCCTCACTATTTCATGGACAATGTTCTGGGAAATCCTTTTCCCATGGATCTTTCGACTGCATTTCTCTAAAGAATTGATGAAGTCATATATGGGATGATCATTTCCTGCTAAGCTGCAACTTTGAAGCAAAACTGCTATTATTTATGCTGACTATATCATAGTTAATGTGATGGGGATTATCATGTTTATGTCATGTTATTATATGCGTACATGCTGTATCCACTTTTATTATTAGTTTGTGTATTTTTCATCTAACTAAGAAATGTTACGTTTGGTTTAACCCATGTATGCTATGTTTGCTAATCTCCTATTGGTGGGGCGTATTAGGAGCATCCGCCCTCCACCTTAGTATGTTTGATAATTGAATGCAAAAGACGTTAACTGTTACGCGGCATCTGGCATAGCAAATCCGCCGGCTGCACGCAGGAAATGAAGTCGGTGCTGCCATCTACGGATGAAATAAAAATCATCATATGCCATTGCACTCGGACAGTGGATGATGCACGAATGTAATCCAAGTACTGCATGAATGGTTCGAGTTCTGCAAACTCTCCTCGGTTACTAGGTTAGGATACAAGCTCATCTACAGGATCGGACCCGCTATTCTTATACAAGTGCCGCGGCTGAAACCTAGAGAAGCAAGCATCAGTACTACTACTACTACTGTTCTTGAATTAAATAAAATTATTCATTATTACGAGCTAAACATGAAAGTGCACCATATTGTTCAACAATAGACCCATATACCTGCACTGTAAACACTATAAGCTTAAAAGTTTAAATCTGTGAGGTATAATTACATAATCTTTCTTCGATTTTCTGGATTTTGATGGGCATATTTTCCTATTAACTTGCATCTTTTCCAATTAACTTGTGTGCCCCTGCATACACGACCGCGAGGCATCAATTTCTAGCTTGTAGTTTCAACCAGACATTAAAATGACAGGTCCCCTGCTTCATGATCCGGAGTCTTATATGCGAATCCTGATTCATCGCTCGGTCTCCTTTTGACAACGCTCGCCCTTTGCACTAACCTCACTAATGCTTGCACTACCTCAGACATGGAAGGCCGAAACTCAGGTTCTGGCTGCATATAAACAAACAAAAGAAAAATGTTGATAGTATGTCTGTGTAATCGTGTTCTTTTTGTTTTAAGCTTCTTTTTTCTTTGATTCAAATTGTCCCAAAGCATAAGTTCCTTTACCTGAACACACAGAGTGATGATGTCGGCAAAACGCGACAGAGATTTAGCAGGATACATGCCATTGAGGCTAGGATCGACCATTTTGGCAAGGGCATCAATATCATGTAGTTGCGGAGTGGCCCATCTGACAAGTGATTGCTCCGATCTAACCCTTGAACTAAATATTATACAATGCCATTTATATCGAAACAAAATTTTACTTTCTTGGTAACAATGCTATACGAAAGATCATTATCTAGACAGAGAGTTTTACCTGTCCAGTGGTTTCCGACCAGTCAGCAGCTCCAACATCACCACTCCAAAACTGTGCACATCGCTCTTTACAGTATATATTCCCGACAATGCAAACTCAGGAGCACTATAACCAAATGAACCAACCACTTGTGTCAAACCTGCCCATTACAGAATCAAACAAAAAAAATTCTAGCTTAAAGCATTCCTTCACAGAGGCAAACCTTGATCACCAATGACTCATTGCCCTAAAAAAAAATTTACCTGTCGCTCGGTATTTGGTGTAAGAGCGGCTAAACCACAGTCGGACAAGTGAGGATTGAGCTCTTCGTCAAGTAAGATGTTTGCTGACTTGAAATTTCTATGTACAACTGAAGGCAAGCACACTTCGTGCAAGTACCTGGAAACAATAGCTTCATCAAAAACTTAGGCAAGCAAACAGCCGAGGGATAGAGAGACAAAATAATCGCACACGTATAACATACTCTAAAGCACGGGCAGTGCCGAGTGCCACTCTGACACGTGCATTCCAGCTTAATGTCTTGCTGTCATCATCAGAAAAGTGCAGCATCTCCTGAAGACTACCATTCCCTACATATTCATATACTAGGAGACGCTGTCCATGCTCGGCACAGTATCCAGCCAATGTAACGATATTGGGATGTCTCAAGCGTGACATATTGGAGACGGCTTCCAAAAAATTGTCTTCCTCTTGTAATGATAACGCAGCATTGTCTATCTTTTTAATAGCCATTGTCTAAATCAAACATAAAAAATAATTGTTATTGAAGTGAAAACCGATGCATAGGAAAGCTCAATATTATATATTTATTACATTGAAGCTACCTTTCCATTTGGGAACTCCGCCTTGTAAACACGACCGAGGGAACCTTCACCAATTATGTATTCTTGACTAAAACTATTTGTTGCTGTTTGCAAAGCTGCGACGGTATATGATGCAGCAGTGATGGGAAACTTCATTCTGTTTATAGATCCGCTTTTGGAAATCCTATCACCATCAGTTTGTCAGCTGGTGGGGGTTTCAAATCTATAACAGTAGCAACACTTTTAACCCTTTGCACCTGCATCTCAGTATGTCCTGCAAAATATGAAGCGGAATACCAGTCTGGCATTGTTAGGATGCTAGAAAGTTTTTCAATGAAGCTTTATGCAATCTGAAGGTTTAACGAAAGAGTGAAACTTCAAAGAAATTTACTACTCCAATAGCGTAAATATGAAGAAAACCTACCTTCATTGGAGCCAACTGAAAGACTTCCCCTCCATGCTCTTGTGCCACTCACCTTTCTTTTACTTTTACGGATGCAGAAGACAAGAGCAAGTAGTGCCAGTGCAACTACCAAACAAGAACCAAGAGCTATGCCTACAATTTGTCCAGCCGATGGTCCGTTATACGACTCTGATGATTGAGCATCAGAAGTGGGGGGTGTACGAATTCCTGATCCAGTTTTATGTCTATTAAGAGGCCTAACAGGTGGAGGTGGACTAAATGGCGGCGGCAGCGGAGCTGGTCCATTGTCAAAGGAGTTTCCATCATATCTGTTTCACATTTTATATAGCAATGTCAAACATTTTGCATAAACTAAATATTGAAACGTTAAACTGGTTATATCAAGCCTTACACAAAAGTCGGGAGTGAAAGAAGCTCTTGAGGAATCCATCCACTGAAATGGTTATTCGCAACATTTCTGTTTCAGAATCTAGGGTGCATAAGAACAGACATCCGAAAGTGTAGACCCCACAGCAGAATGAGAAAAGTAACTTACAGAGTTTGCAAAGGTAAACCCGAGAGGACATTAAGAGAGCCGATAAATTGATTGTTCTGCACATACCTGCAACAAATTAAAATATCAATAGCACGAGGTAAAGCTTCGTAAATGTCTAAAATCTATTTTGCCTTTTATTTTTACTCTTAATTATGCACACTCACTCACAGCGAGGAAATATTGCTCAATGAGCTAAACGAAACAGGCAGATCCCCACTAAAATTGTTGAAAGAAATATCCCTGCATTAACAAGGTAACCAAATCATAATGTTGTTAGAAAAGTATTCGGTAGGGGAAACAGACTGCTGTTACATATCATAAAGAATGTCATTAAGGTAGTCAAATAATATAAAAGGTTGAGCTCTCTTACAAGGTACCGAGGTCAGGAAGATTAGCGAAAATGTCTCCAACAGACGGGGAGAGTGAATTGTGGCTTACATTGCTGTAACACAGTTTTACAAATCGGAAATGAGAGGAAGTTCGATTTTCCATTCAACTGCGTGACGACTAACTAAATATGTCACTTACAGGTAAGTAAGAGTAACCATGTTGGAAATGGAATAAGGAAGACTCCCACTTAAGTTGTTTCCTGCAACATTCCTGAATCAAATAATAAATAATCATTTTAATGTTCAGCAGTGAAAAAAATGCATTATAACATTAGAAACAAAACAAATCAGAGACATTACAGGCTTGTAAGATTCGGTGGCAATTGGTACGGAATTGTATCTTGAATGTTGTTGTTGCTCAAATCACTAACATAATACAGAGAAAAAAGCCAATTAAGTAGCTAGATGGTTAATAAGAGAGATACAATCTCTATGTCACCGGCAGAAACGAGAGCAATGAAATCATCTTACAGTGCTCTCAAGGAAATAAGATCATTGAGCAAGTATCCCATAGTTCCGGATAGTCCTAATCCAGGAACATCACTGTTATACAAAGAACAACCAATTAACCAAAATATGAACTCATCATCAAGCTACGAAATTCTGAAAAACAAATAGCTAAGATCGAAATATGTACTCTCGTACACGGAAACTATGGCGGAGCCGTCACAAGCAACACCTTTCCATGACTCTCCACATGGATCACCACCATCACTTTTCCAATTTGTTAACTCTGTCGGACTGTTCAATGAAGTGTACAGAATCTGAAGCGCTTGAACTGCCCAAGAAAAAAAAGAGTAAAGAAAACAGCTTAATCAGAAAATCTCAGGTTACAAATTTGGTATATCAAATACAGATTAGATTGAACTAAGCCTTCCATTTATAAAACTAAAACCCATAAATTGTAGATTTTTTTGCAGCTGGATACCATAAATTATCACCATTTCCCCCAAGAAATCAAAACAAATATACATTTTCTCTGACTTTCTTCTCATATTTTCTGGAGAAACAAACACTTTACACAGCAGAAAAGATCAAACCTTTCAACCAAAAGATCATTTCTTTACTAAAGCACAAAAAAAAGACTTATCAACACCCATCATACAATCAAATCAACGATGCCAAAGACAACTAACCAAAAAAAAAACAAAAACCCAAAAAAGGAGAGAAAAATACCATCGGTAGAATCAGTGTTGCATTGAGCAGGAGTGAAACCAGAGATTAAACCAAGTAAGACCAACTCAGTAATTAACAAACGAGTCATAGAAAGTGATGAATCCCTGTTAATGCAACCCATTTTCTCTTCTTGTAGTAATAGTAGTATGTACTATATGGTAAGTTTACAGTTGATTTTTGGAAGCCTTTAGAGTTGAGAAAAAGATCAGGTGAGGAGCAGGAAACGAAAGAGAACCATGGAGGCGCAAGCAGAGGTAAATAAGGAGAAGGAGGAGAATGTAAAGGAGAAGGAGTTGTTGGGAGGATTAGTAGTTGGAGACATCGCCATTAAAGGAAATGAAAGGAGAAAGAGAAAAAAAAATTATAGATTCGAAGCTTGAGAGTTGTAATGAAGACAGTGTGCGTGTTATATAGCAATATATGTTGGGTAAACTATACGGATGATCCCTTATATTTTAGTTTATTTTATTTTAGTCACAAATCAAAAAAATAATTTAGTTACCTCACGTTACATTATCGTTCCGTTTGATTTTATTATTTTAGTCTTTCCGTTAAATCTCATTAATTCATTAAATAAAATTTGAATTGACAATTGAAAAATAATACATGTGTCTACTTTTTTGTCTTTAATTTCCGTTAACTATCAACGAAATAAATTATTATATGGATATGCACATCACGTCTTCTATGGTCTCATCTAATAAGATTCATCAATCACAAAATAACTTTCAAATATTTATTCATCTCTTATTTACATGTACGAAAGAGATGAAGATTCACCTTGAAAAAATATAAAATAAATAAATTTTATTGACTGGACCCATGAATATCGTTGTAAACCGAGTTCATTTAATAAGTTTTTATTGACAAAAATTCAAATTAAAAATAAAAAATACACGTATCTTCTTCAAACCCCCAAATAGTTAAATTCGTGAACTGCTAAATATATTGAAACTGCGAATTTAATTAAAGAGGAGAGAAAATATATTGGAACAATTACAAGCAAAAGATTACATTACATTAGGGATTAAGGTAGGATGGTTTGCATCGTTATCTTCCATTCTCTTGGATCAACATTTCATAATCCGAAGCGGAGAGGCAAAGATGGATGGCTTCTGCTGTAAAAGCAATAAGTAGTCCAGTACCCAATGCTATCCATTGGTCTTGTTGTTACCGCTTCCTTCTTCATCTGTGAAACAACTTGTACGAAGCAAAATCGATGTGTTGTCAAGGGACAAGGAGCTAATCATGGAGGAGTGGCATCATTGTTCCTGGGATTTGGGTCGTTGTTTTTGCTGGAAGAGAAAGATTGGTGTCTGATTTTCATGGGTTTAGCAGACCAGACCAGGATAGGTTCTTTAATAACATTTTGATATCACTCGAGTGATCTTATCAGTGCACGCTTGAATTTGTAGAATTGGAATTTGGATCTTTGCTTTTATGGATAACAACTTCATTGAGCCATCTCATTTTCTAACTGACAACAATTGGAATCTTCTTCCTTGTGAGGGATAATGGCATGAAACCGTTGTAAGTAGTGAAAGGTTTTTTTTCTTTTTTTTCTTTTTACTTCCACCTTGTGTTGCCATGGAGGTTGACATGGACATGTTAATGCTATGGACTTTGGGATCTCGTCTCCCGTCATTAATACAGCCAAGCTCTGGCGTTGGTTTTTCTTCAAATCCTGAAATACGGTAACAACACAAACTAAGCTAAGCTTCAATTCTAATCTCTGTTTTCTTTTTTTATGAAAGGGTGTGAGACAGAGAGAAAATTTACCATGAAATCAGGCTTGGGTTTCGAGGGAGAAGCTTTGATATTATATTGATAGTTATGTCGGATGTTTTAAATATCATCATAAATGTTCAATAATGAGAAGAAACTTGGGTCAAATTAAGAAAAAATGCCATGGAGAATTTTATTCTAAATTAATCTTTAAACTTTTAATTATTTTAATTTCATTTTAAATTAGCTTTCAAATTGTTGAACATTACAATTTCACTATCAAACGATGAGAATTATTTTAAATTAATCCATAAACTTTTGAATCTTCCAATTTAATCCTCAATTTCACCCAACCATAGTTTAATCTAAAAAAATCAAACATATAATAATATAGCTTGGCCTAACAATTTTATTAACAGTGATGTGATTAGCGTATACTAATAGTTTTGAAGGAATTGAAATGTTCAAAAGTTTGGGCATTAATTTAGAATGAGGGTCATAGTTTGGGGGTGAAATTTGAATTTTCAAAAGTTTAAGGACCAATTTAGAATTGGATGCATAGTTTGGGGATGAAATTAAAATGCTAAAAGTTTGGGAACCAATTTAGAATTAGAGTCACAATTTAGAAATGAATTAAAATGTTTAAAATTTCAAGGACTAATTTAGAATGAGAATCATAAAATAATATTTAAAAAAAATATAAGCATTAATTTAAAACAAATGTCATAATTTGAGAAGGGTCTCAAATGTAAAATGTGTCAATTAATTAGTAAATCATACCATTGTTTATCTCTGTTGCCTAATAGATGACTAGTGAGGGTATCAATGTGAAAAATAAAACAAAGTTTGAGTACTATTTCTTTAAAAAGGAACCAACTTGAAAAAGGGCATAATTTAAGAACTAATTTATCAATTAAATCAATGCAAAATGAGCTAGTATTCAAAAACTCGAACCCCGTAAGAATAAATAATTCAATTTAAAACAGTCTAGATCCAAATTTAACCTAAATCAAAATAACCATGGGTTAAGAATATTAGAATAATAAATAATCGAGTCTTAGTGATTAAAGAGATTATTATTTTTATTTGAGGTATTGGGTTCAATAAGTTACATTTTTATAATAATAGATACAACGATACTTGTAATTACCTCATACTATTAAAAAAGAACAATAAAATAGAATAATATATTAAATATTTTAAATAAAATTAAAGATTTGAATTTTTGAAATTTTAAATATAATAATTAAATGCTAAATCTTTTTAAAATAACAGCATTTCCCTTCATTATTAAGGTTATTTAATGAAGTG